GTTCAACATGTAAGAAGTAGAAAGTACAGGTATTTGAGTTCAACATGTAAGAAGTAGAAAGTACAGGTATTTGAGTTCAACATGTAAGAAGTAGAAAGTACAGGTATTTGAGTTCAACATGTAAGAAGTAGAAAGTACAGGTATTTGTGTTCAACATGTAAGAAGTAGAAAGTACAGGTATTTGTGTTCAACATGTAAGAAGTAGAAAGTACAGGTATTTGTGTTCAACATGTAAGAAGTAGAAAGTACAGGTATTTGTGTTTGAAATGTAAGAAGTAGAAAGTACAGGTATTTGAGTTCAACATGTAAGAAGTAGAAAGTACAGGTATTTGAGTTCAACATGTAAGAAGTAGAAAGTAGTGGAGTAAAGTACTGATACCAGAACAATGTACAGTGAGGAAGTATTTGTGCTCCACTACTTCCCACCTCTGGTCAGAACTGATCACAGAGCCACGTGATATGATAAGATACATGTATGTAATCTTTACCTCAGAATATGCAGGTGGTGTGTCTGTGTAAGGAGGAGCCTGGGGAGACATTTGCATAGCAGGAGGGTATCCAGGTGCAGTGCTCTGCTGAGGGTACACAGACTGCTGAGGATATGAACCTGCAAACACAACATCATACACGTTACTGTTGAACAGGGACTGACACACCAACCCCTGGGTGACCGGGTGGCTGTGGTTTAATGTGCTTTGTTGGGAATTGTGACAAAACTAAAGAAGAATTTAGGTTACATGTTTCTCAGATACATCAGAATATCTTATATGTTGGGACAGATATTCTTTTCTTTTTTTTTTAATAGGATAAACAAAGATGTCACGTTGACAATGAGGATAAAGCCAGGTATACCACATGTTCAGTAGTTATTAATATATTGACAGCAGAGACATCTAGTGAGTACACTAGTATGGATATGGAGTGATATTGTTCATTCCTATGCTACAAGATAGAAAGCATAAGATTAATGTTATACTCGAGAGATTAGAAAGGGCCCTTGGTAATGTTCATTAAAGGAATACCAAAAATACAATGTAGGATTGCAACCGATTACATAAATGATGTTAAATGTAATATATTAAACTTTGAGTATCAATGATTCTTTTGTAAATGTACAGTGTTATATATACACGTTCAGAACATAGTGAAGGGTGTCCGCAGGTCTAACAGTTCAAAATCTGAATATCAAGTTTAAAATCATATAGGATACATAGAAAACAGCTAATATTGTTTTTTTTAGCTAAACTAAAATGAAAATGATTCATAAATTATCCAAATACTTGCAGATGAATCAACATATTAAGTTTTAGTTGCGGCTCTGTTATAATGACATAACGTGTCCGAACAAAGTGCAGAAATGCAGTTAAATTCTTGTTTTGATCAGGGCCAGTGGTCAATACACGGGGAAAAAAACATAAAAGGCATCATGGAAAACACATAACACACCGAATTAGTCACATACTAATAACAACCAAGCTATAGTTGAAATGTTTAAAGCGATACGGTTTCGTTTCTCCCAAAGTGTCTCTGATTTCCTTTGTATTTGTGTCGGACAGAAACCCTCCCTTAAAGGCACCACGATGAGCTGCACCGATGAGCCTGTTGTGGTATGTGCTGACATTAGCTAAACAAAGCATTATTCAAGGAAACAATCGATAGGGAGAATAATCGTTAGTTTCAGGCCTACAGGAGCCGCTGGAAACCCAACAGCAACAAAAGATCTGAGCAGAAAATACCCGCAGACAAAGACTGAGCAGGCGGCGAGGAGAGCAGATTCATGTACTTATACACACTCTGTCTGGGCAACGGCACATTAATAACCGAGTATTATTAAAATGATGCACACTGATTAGCTAGATTCCCATGCATGTAAACCATGGATGTATAAAGAGAACGGGATACTCCGCTCATTCCTATGAGAGCTGCTCAGAGGCGCATGAAGCCCATAATAAAGCGACTGTAGATACAGGAAGTACCCGGATGATCCTGGGCCTTTTGCTTACTGAGCATGCGCGCTGGAGTGTTCCCTTAGCCTCCGGAGAGACAGAATTTTGGTATGATTTCCTTTTTTTTTAAAAATCGTATTTGTATTACCCTCTCCTACAACCTATTTTATTGTTGTTGTTTCCGTTTGCATCATGAAGCAACTGCCTTGTATGTGTAAGCGCTCCTGGCAAACCTGGTTATGATCTTATGTAAGTCAACGGGAGAAAGTCTTTTTGGGCCAAAATGACGTCACGACAATTGCAGTATCACCGAGCGGCCACTACGCTCATTTTTTAAAAATCTGCTTCAACGGCCGGTGCTCTCTCAACAGTAAAAAAAGAAAAAATCATGTTAGCTTGTGATGCTAAGCTAACTGAAAATATGTGACCTGGCCACCATTACTATGGTGTTAAAACGGTGACAGTGAATCTATCCGTTTATTATTAACATCCACGGTGTTTTATAACAATTTAGACGCCGGTAATCACCGTGTGTTCTTTATATTTATCCGGAAAATGTCAGTTTATTGTCATTAAAACGGAGCTAATGTCCGTTAGCCACATTAGCTTCATCTCCGGATCTCCGGTAAATATCTTCAGGCCGAAACGAACGGAAAACGGACTGTAAATATCAACACGAGGTGTGGGAAACATACCTTTGTTGTTCATTGTTGTGTGATGATCTGGAGGCTGGAAGAATATCAGAATAAAAGGAGGAGCTCCGCGTTCATATATCTCTGTCACGGCCTTTAAAAAACCTTACGGCTGCTTCTTTCCTTCACTTCCTTGTTTTCAGCTTCTTCTTCTTGTTGTTGTGGAAGTGGTGACGTCAGCACGTTCCGTATCTCTGATGTGACGTAACGCGTCGTTTTATAACCGCGAGCGCACCCTGCCGATAGACAGACAGACAACCGATAGGCAGAAGTTCTCAGAACATGTGCTTGAGTAAAAGTAGAAGTACTCAGATCTTGTACTTGAGTAAAAGTAGAAGTAGGCCTACTAAGAGCGTGTGCTTGGGTAAAAGTAGAAATACTCAGATCTTGTACTTGAGTATAGAAGTACTCAGATCTTGTACTTGAGTAAAAGTAGAAGTACTCAGAGCGTGTAGGCCTACTTTAGTAAAAGTAGAAGTACCAGAGTGTATACTCCGTTACAGTAAAAGTCCTGTAATCAAAATGTTATTCAAGTAAAAGTAGAAAAGTATTATCATCAAAATAAAGTTAAAGTACCAAAAGTAAAAGTAGTCATTGTGCAGATTGGTCCATTTCAGAATAATATGATATATCATATGATATATCATATTCCAATTACTTGTAGACTCTCCTTGCACTATTCTATCCTATTGTATTTGTATTTACTTGCACTATTTGAACTATGCATCTGTTGTATTGTGTTGCACTGTTGGAGGAGCCTGTGACCTCAGATTTCCATATACATCAGCTGTCTTTTTATTGGTGTTTTATTGTATGTTTTATCCTATGTATTACCTGCTGCTGTTTTACGCCTTTTATTCTACATTTTATAGTTGTACTTTGAATTATGTCCTGTGTACTGTACTGTAAAGCACTTTGTACATCCGTGTTGAGAAGGGTGCTATATAAATAAAGTTTTACTTACTTACTTACACTGTGGCTATGTACAAATGACAATAAAAGCCTTGAAACTTGAAACTTGATATGTTTTATAATTATTGATCATTAAAGTGTGCAGCTAGAATTTTGCTTTATCAAAATAAACTAGAGAATGCAATTCCTGAATAAATTGCTAGTGGGAATGCTCTATGCTGAAAATCTGACGCTAAACTGCTATGCTGAAATGTAATGTGTAAGAAGAAAGTGAAGAATTTAGATTGAAATGATACATGAACACAGGGGGCTTGAATGTGTGATGAGAGAATTAAGGAAAGTAAAAAGGCTTGGAAAAGCAGCAGAATATTTGAACTGCAAACTTTTGAACTAACTTGATGGCGAATGATCTGTCGCCATGCCAACGGCATTTAATGACATCCCATAATACGCTTAGATGCGTTGATGGCTGCATCGTTACCAAACCTGTGAAGTTTTGGGCCGTCTCAAAACTGTGTCCATTGGAGCTACAGCGACATCGTGTTTTATGGCGAGGGCCTATGGTGAGATTTCAGCCTATGGTGAGATTTCAGATTTGGCGTAAAGCTGTTGAGGCATGGACCCAGGGCCGTGGGAAGTAGGGGTGCTGAGGGTGCTGCAGCACCCCCTGATGGAGGACAGGGAATCTGCACGTCAACAAGATTAAATGGAAATATCATACAAAAAAACGAATTTTCAGCCCTGATGTAACAACATTCATAATTAAGTAAAGATAACACCCTTTTCACCCTGGTTCCAGTTTCCATTTGCCCTGTGCGATGAAAGTGGGGGATGTTGGCTTATCAGGCGCCCGCAGCTCACACACAGGACAGATATAAGCTGTCTGGACAGGACTGATAGCCAGACAGACTGAGAGGCTCAGTGAGGTAGTCTAAATTATCTCAGAGGGTCTCAAACGGTTTGTTAACAATTTATGTAAACAAATATTTCCAAGGCAACCTTTATAATTATTGGGATAAATAAAAACAGGTTTGAAATCATTCCAGTGCATACTATAGGACAGTAAACCAGAAATATTGTTTAAATCTGGAGAGATTAAAGAATATGCATAAATAAATAAATGTTAACTGGTAAAATAAGAAATAAATGAACAACAAAAATAAAATAAGTTACATTTACTTGTTATTGGCTATGTTAGGTTATTGGTTATGTCCACATACTTATTTGATTATTAAAATGTAAACCGATCTTTTCGATATGGGTGTTTAGAGTTGTACCCCTTAGATCTAGTCTCTGGCAATTCAGCTCAAAGTGCACCAGATTGAAGCATTTTACTTTATAATGTTGAAAAAAAATCTTCCCCCCACAGCACCCCCCATTTGAAACATGTTCCCACGGCTATGACGGTGAACACATCTTTAATAACATTAGGCTCAGTAGCTATAATATGAAGAACTAAGTTTATTTATTACATTTTAAAAAGTCACACGGTCTAACCCCTCTTTATCTCTCACCCTTTTAGGTTCAAATAATCGATGCCGTGGGTCGAAGCGCAAACGGAACAAGGTTGCCGCTTTCCTTGCCGAGGCTGTGGAGGAAATGAACCTATATGTAAATGAGACAGAGGAACTATAAGATACACTTTTATGTATGCAAAACCTTAACAACTAGAAAATAAAATACTTGTCTGAATAGATTGTCTTTGAAGGCTCTTTGATTTTGACGCTATTTCAGTGGAACAATCCAGTGTCAATGCTTTTTTCTCTTTTCTTGTGTTACTACGATACTTTTGATACACTTTGAAGTGTGCAACACTTAACAACTGGTAGATTGTCAATTACTTTGTAACAAATGTGTTTTCTTAAAGACTCTGACTCTAAAAGGTAAGTTTGTGATTTTAACACTTTTTTTTTACTGACACTACAGACTTAGCTTTTTTTCTCTCGTTGTCTTTCTCTTACTTTTGGATACAGTTTTATGTATGACAACTTTACAACTGGTAGAAAGTTAAGTTAACAGATTTTCTTCAAGAATGTGACCTTGAAAGGGAAGTTTTTGTGATTTTAAAGCTCCCATGTCATGGCTATTTCTACTGATCATAATTCCATTGTTGAGGTCTACTAGAATAGATTTATATTGTTCAAAGTTCCAAACTCACATTGGTTTCTCATACAGCATCTCTGTATAGCATGTGTATTCACTCTCTGTCCTACACGGCTTGTTGGAGCTCCTGAAACAATGCAGTTTAGATTACTTTAATAACCTGACTATTTTTAAAAGTTTTTTTTAGATGCATTACTTTGAATTATTTCATGTTATTCTAACAAAACATTACTTTTTTCAACGTGCTGTTCTCATATTTTCCACATAGCCTACTGTGCTATTTCCTTCTCTCTATGACTTCGTTCATTATATTTTTGAAATATTTCAACATACGTTACCTGTGCCTTCTTTTCTTTTTTGAAGGGTTGCAGGATATTTTGCACGTCATGCATAAAACCTCTCATCTTTCTTGAAACTGACATTTGAGAAAAAAGACGTGCTGTCCTTTTTACAAACAAGTTATGTTTCTGCTTCTTCCTCGCCCGTGTCTCTTCATTCAGCCATCACAACAATCAAGTCAGATCTTTCAAATGAATCCTCTTCATTTCCCCCACCCTGGGGTCCAGAGTCAAAACACCTCCAGACCCTCCCCCTTCTTTTATATCCCTTGCCTGTTTTATGGTCAGTCCCTGTGACTCTGTCTCTGGCAGGTATCCCCACACGGTTGGTTTAAACGAAAATAAGTAATTTAGTTCCTTTCTCACAATATGGGTTTTCAAAAAGAAGAAGAATAGACATCTCTGAGGGATGTAATCACAGTTTGAGTGNATATGGGTGTTTAGAGTTGTACCCCTTAGATCTAGTCTCTGGCAATTCAGCTCAAAGTGCACCAGATTGAAGCATTTTACTTTATAATGTTGAAAAAAAAATCTTCCCCCCACAGCACCCCCCATTTGAAACATGTTCCCACGGCTATGCATGATGGACCGGTGATATACAAGCGAAGTTTGGGGGACGATCGGACAGTGTCCATTGGAGTTACAGCAACATCGTGTTTTATGGTGAGGGATGCGTTTCCATGGAAACGGCATATGATGACACCCCATAATTGACGTAGAGCTGTTGAGGGCTGGACCGTTGACCATTATCTGAAGTCTGCTGCTCTGAGCATGTCAGTTGGAGTTATGACATCATCGTGTTCCATGACACAGGTGTTTATATTTGAGCTAACGACGTGTCCAGAGATCAAAGGTTTCCATGTTTTTTTTTTCAAAATTAAATCTGTCCTCCACTCTAGCTGTGACATCATGCACTATAAAATCTGAAGAAGGCCTCTTTACCAAGGTCTAATATCTCTAAAAGTACGAATCAGATTTAAAAGTTGTGTTACACGAATAATGTCAGAAAGATTTGTGACATTTTAAAGTTGGAATGAGGTTTCTGATCAATAACAATCAATGAATCAATGTATGTATCAATCAATCAATGTATCAATGAACAGTTAGCAGTTGAAGTTGCATGAAGATTGTTGAAGTCTGAAAAGTTTCTCTATTGACTTCCATATTACCAATGGGATGTATTATGGGATGTATCTCTGGAATTATGAAAGTTATGAATGAGAAAAGTAATAGCCATCGATTCCCGACCGAGCTGAACGTTTTGATGTTTGAACGGAGTTTCTGCGATGTTCAATGTGGGAGGAGAAGTGGCGCAAAATAACCCGGCGGAATAATAAATGATTTCAAGCATAGCATAACAGATCATGGATAAATAAATAATTATCTCTGATATTTGTATTGTTGTTCAGAAAAATGAGTTAAGACAGATAACAGATGAAACTCTAAAGCGTACTCTAAAGTTGTATTTCAGTTGTTTTCCAAAAGAAAGCCTCCTGTATCGCTCCGTTGCTAGAGCTAGCAGCGCATGTCCCGGGGCTTGGTGTCACATTTGCCTCATGTCATCATCTTGATCTCTAAAATAAAGGCACTGTTTCACTCAATTGAAATGCCATAAAATGATGAAGTAATTCATAACCATAACTCGAAAGCAATTGAAAATAACCAAGGCTTGAATAAAAAGAAATACCCTTCTGATGTTTTATGTCAATGGCACTGAAAGCCAACAGAGCCACAACGCGTTCACTGGGAACTACGCTTTAATCGCACATACAGTATCACATGCATTTTTGTGTGCTTAATAGAATAAAACTCTGCTTCA